TTAGTGTTGAATACACAAGACCTGTAAGACTTGTATAACCTGTAGCAGATTCCTCCTTGTCAAAAAAGCCTTCTTTCTTCTTGGCGTGTGCTCTGTGCACATGGATAGAAGTTCTTTTCAGAATACAGAGTATGTGATCAACTGTTCTTCCTTCTTTCCCCAATATGAGCGGCCTAAAGAGATGAAACAGCAGTGATATCAATATGCAGCTTTGGAAATTTAGTCAACAGCTAAAACTGGCCAGGCACGGATGGAATCTCAGCAGTTTTGCTGCCGAATCAGCCAAAATGTAATCCATGGAAAGCACAAGGAAAGCCTTTTCGTCTAAAGGTGCCCATACACCTTACAATTTATCTGCAGATTTTCTGTGGTCAGATGGAAAAAGTGCAACAGATTGGCCCAGGTGGAGATTCCTCCATCCACAAAGTTAAGTGTAGATTGGAGGAATCTGTTGCACCTTTTCCATCTGACCATAGAAAATCTGGAGATAATTGTAAGATGTATGGCCAGCTTTAGAATTTCCTGACACGAGAACATATTAATTACATAGTTACATAGTATTTGGGGTTGAATAAAGACATACGTCCATCAAGTCCAACCCATTATGGCAGCTGTTGCCATCCAGACACAAAATCGTATCATCTACTCGAATTTATAAACGGGATTAAGTGCAAGCCTCAGCCTGGCTGCGAATACTCTCTTCTCTTTAATATAGCCCATATAGGGTTAATTTTATCGGTTGGAGATTACATCTATTTGTATAACTAATGTATCGCTGATTTATGGTCTTGATATCCATGTACTTAGCAATGAGGATCCATTTTCTAACCCAGTTGCATTGTATGAGGTTTACAGTCAGTATCCTGCCTTGATTTTAATTGTGTTCACAGTGGTCTGATGGCTGTGTTTATTTTCACATATTTATACATAATAAACCTTTTTCACTAAATGACGTGGTCTGTCCCGATCTATTGTTAACCTCTAGGACTAGCTATACTATATAGCTAGCCCAATCCCGCTTGTACATGTAATCCATGGGCGGCCCTACGGGCTCAACAAAAGCCGATATTTCAAATGGCTTTTGGTGAAGGAAACTTGTCAGTCGAACTGTTCGGGTATTCTGACAGCCATGGACACCAGCAATCAGAAAACTGTAGCTGGCAGGGGAGATTCCTCCATCCATGTTTGGAGTGGATGGGAGAATTGAAAGATTTTTCTTGTTCAGTGCACGGGGCCGAATGAGAAAACTCGTAAGGTGTTTGGCCAGCTTAGCGTGTATATCCATTTTTGCAGTCCAGTTTGAAAAAAAGAACCCTCTATATAATGCGTGTTCCTATTCACACCGCATAACGGAAAATACATTTTTAAAAATACTTTTTACCTTTTAGATGTTTTGTTGCGGCAGGCAACATGGCCGATTCCAGGTTTTTCTCAGCACCTTCACAGTGATCTGTACTAATAGAAGGACTGAAATTTGAGGGTGGTGTTTCTCTCACAGGGGCCAAAATACAGAAGATAGACTCACCTCATCCTCGGTAGACATGCGCACAACAACAATTTTTTCAGGCAAAACAAATGAAAACGAAAATCGCTTTCATTTGTTTCGTCAAAAGAGACAAATTTTTATGTTGTTTTGTATTCGGAGGTAACGAGCCTCCGAATCCGAAACCGTACACTGAATCCGCAGAACGAGCAGCGGCCATATCGGCAGCCGGCGCGTTCTGCGCATTCGCGCCGCCATTTTGGAGTAGATCTTGTCATACACCGAGATGGTGGTGCCCACATGTTCAAGCACCGCCATCTTGGTGTATACCAACATCTACTCCAAAATGGTGGAGCGCATGCGAAGAACGCGCCGGTGGCTGATATGGCCACCGCTCGTTCATCGTGTGACGTCACCATCATATGCTCCGCTTCCAAGATGGCAGAGGCCATGCGCAGAACACACTGGTGGCCAATATGGCTGCCGGCGTGTTCTGAAAATAAACTAATGTATGCCCCAATATCGTTTCAGTATATTCGGGCTTATAATAAATTTGTTATTTCGGATTCGGACGAACCGCCAAATCACTTGATTTTCGTTGATTTGCAGGTTCGTCTGAATCTGAATGCTCACCTCTCTTCCCCCTCCTCTTGCCTGTGGTATAACCCCTGGGCTTCCTTGCGCCTAATGCAGGCGAATTGACCTGCATGAGATGTGATGATGTCATAGACCACTGGAGCCCGGGGGAGAAGAGGCTGCGGGGACCGGTTCAGCAGCCAGGCAGGATCATGTGAATATATCTTCCTTAATCCAGCCCCTAGACCAAAACGAGCTACCCCTTGC